CTTCCATAAGAAAGGTTACAAGGACAAAACTATCAACACCAGCATAAACACAGCCTTGAGAACCCGAAGAGAAAATCTACTTCAGTAGAAAGAGAAAAAAAAACAACCGTGTACCTCTAGTAACCACATACAACCCAGCACTAGAAGGAATAAGAAAAATAATCACAGATTTACAACCCATCATAACAGAGGATGGAACCCTAAAATAAATATTCTGGCAACCACCAATACTGGCTTTCAGACAACCCCCCAACCTCAAAAATAAACTAATCAGTAGGAAACTTCCTTCTGATCAAGATGTCACAAATAATGGAAGCAAACCCTGCAATAAAAAACGCTGCAAACTGTGCAGCCAAATCAATCCATCAAAAAGTGTCAGACACTCAAAAGGGATCTTCAGTATCTCCGGATCATACAGCTGCACCTCTAGTAATGTTGTGTACCTTATCCAGTGCAGAAAATGTAGCAAAGGATCTTACGTTGGCAAAATAGGACAGAAGTTGCAAACAAGGATGAATTTGCACAGACATACCATCAAGGAACATAAAGAAGATGACTTTTGCACACCTGTGGGACACCATTTTGCACAACCAGACCACACTATGGAAGACCTCAATATTTTAGTTCTTAAAGGAAATTTCAAATCCATTCAGGAAAGGAAAACTTTTGAACTAAGAATGATAATTCTATTTGACACAAGAGATAATGGCCTTAATTTGGACATGGGATTCCTCACTCATTATCCAACAGTTTTATGACCCCCTCAGTGAGTGTTGTCCCCCCCCCCCCCCCAGTCTTTGCTTTTGCTGCGTCTTATCTCTAGTCTAATCCTAGTCTTTTAACCATTGTGTACATCTGTTTGTGTGTGTTTCTTTTTTTTTTTGTCTTTTTTTTCCCCCTTTCAACATCTCTCCTAACATTCTGCTAAAACTTTGTAGTAGTACTGCCTGGACCTTGAAGAAGGGGACATACCCCGAAAGCTTGTCCTCAAAATTGTATGTTAGTGCAAATAAAAAAAGTATCACGTCAGAACACAATTGTTTCTGTCACAGATAATTAACATACAATATACAATACATTAAATGCACATATAATCTTATGGGAAGATTTATATTAAAATGAGTGGTCTGCAGATAGGGTCTTTTTAATGCCACTTCTGCTTGATAAATGTCCTTAGCTTTTACATTTTTCTACATCACTGCAGAAAATTGACTTTATATTGTGTGGCCCATAGACTCACTGGTGCATAGTATATTTCAACTTGTGCAGGTAATAATAACACCATAAAACAACAAAACTAATTTGACTGATAGACACTGCAAGAAAAATATTGTTAGACTGTGTCTTGCCTTGTTTTCATGGAATAGCAAGTTAAAGTGTTACTAAACCCAGGACCCTGAATTCACTATATTTGGTCTCCCACAGTACACAGAACATGGAAATGTAATTATTTTAGTAAATATAAACTGCTAAATACCTTTTCTCATCAGCAGTTAGAGCAATCTTGTGACTTCTATCAGTGTTCAGCAGAGCACTGGTTAAAGCTTGTAGGAGGAGTTTTTTTCTGCTCTAGGATGATGCAGAACCCCTGACCTCTGTCTGAATAGTGCCTAATGGCCCTGTGCTGATCACATGCACTCTCCCAAGAAAAAAAAAAAGCAATACACACCAACCTGAGCATTTGCAGAGTGACTCCACATGATATGTCTTATCAAGAGATAAGAGAGGGGACACTGGAAGAAAGGTAAGATCAGAGAAGTCAGAATCAAATAGCCTTTTTACACAATGCAGAGGATTAACCCCTTAGGTTACACAGTGAGTATAACAAGCATGCTTTACTGCATATACAGACTGATTTTACTGTTGTGGGATTAGTAACACTAAGATACAACAAATGGAAGTTTTAAAATCAACAAGATCAATTGAAGAATAAAAATATGTGGGTTGCAGCCAGTGAGTCATCACTTAAAAAAATCACCAGTGATTTTCAAAGCTCATCGCATCTGGTACCTGGGACTGATATGTTTTTAACCCATACACCCCTCCCCCCCTCAGCGTCTGAAGAAATAAAGCAATCTGCACAGGTGCACTATGCTGGATTGTGGGTCTAGCCAAGTTGTGCTATCAGTTGGAGGGGCATAAGGGGCATAGTTAAATAATATGAGAGCCTACTCCCTCACACATACACATCACACAGCCCCATATGCCACAATTCTTTTACCCACAGAATATTCTATACCGGCTGTACCGTGCTTTTCTATACACATCCTATTTTAAAGAAGAACTTAAGGAGTAATGTACTTAGAGTGCAGTAGTCAGGATTATGGAATGTAAAATACAGTGAGGGGAATTTATCAAAACTGGAGCAGACAGAATCTGGAGCAGCTACACATGGCAACCAATCAGCTTCTATCTTCAATTTTTTCAGTTAAGCTTTGAAAATTAAATCTAGAAGCTACTCTAGATTATGTCTGCTCTAGTTTTAATAAATTCCCTTCAGTGTCTATAATGCAGGGGTCAGGAATATGTAAGGCACAGGCCACTTTACAGTGCACAACCAAAATGACCCCCTCTTTCCAGCACAAATCACCCCTGGAGACCAAATCCCCCACAATACAGATCTCCCCTAACATCTCTAAGTCCCCCACCAACCTACCCCCTCAGAAAAAACACCGTTAGCACAAACCACTGAGAGCAGACTCCCCCCTCCAAACACAGACTGATGCCCCCAACACAGATCCATCAGTACAGACAGACTTCCCAGCACAAAGCCCTCAGTACAAACTCCACTAGCACAGACCCATCTACACAGACCTCCCCCCTTCCCCAGCACAGGTCCTTCAGTACAGATGGATCCCCCCAACACAGACCAAGCCATGTCACCCTGAAAGTCACCCTCTATACACACTATATGGTGCGATATTTGTAGGGCCCTCTGATCCCTCTTGTAATGAATTGTATTGTAACTGTACTGACAACCTGCATTTGTACAAACCTTTAGTACTGAATAATAATAATATTAGCCTTCAAAGGGGTTTGCCATTTTCTGCCTTTATGATGAGTTTAATGATTGGGAAAGCCATCAGTTCAAGCCCAGACACATTCACATATCTCTAATAAAAAGTTGTTGGGAAGCAATGGGATGTAGAAGATGGCAGGGGAGCCTTTTTACTGCTGCAACACATGTGAACACCCATTAAATTCCAATTTAAACCCAAAACAGCTTGGACTTTTGGAACAAAATGACTATCTTACCCAAGCCAGTTAAACAAATTTGGACTTTGGACTGGTTCAATATTTGTTAGAACTTTTCTCATCTCTAGTAGTAGTATCTAGGCATGAGGATTAGAAACTAACATTTTACCGAGCTTAAAATAAGCGAATGTAGATATATATTATTCCTATGGACAGACTTAGCATACTGAGTCATTTTGCCACTTCTTTGCTTTATATGCCTTGTATGATTTTCTTCCTCTAAAAGCCCATAGAAATTCATTTCATCTTAGAAAACCACAAGCCTTAAAAATAAAACAGGAACATAATCATAATGTTGAATGAAAGACATTTTTCCCAAAATCTATTTATACCATTTGGTCCATCATTGAACCACAGAATCCAAAATGCTGCTGCGATGTTGAGTTTTCCCTGAATACATAAACACATCTCAAAATGAGAAATATAAATTTATATTTAAAAATTTACTACGTCTACCATAAGGCTTGGAACTTACCTTTTAATTAGGAATGGAATGCATTAACAGAATATAATCTTTTCTATTCCTCTGCAGTGACTATTATCAGAAAAATAGCTTAAGAAATTTGGTCTTTCAAATACATTGTGTTAAACATTTTTTTTTGTTCTGCAAGCAATGTGTATTTCCGATCTATCTGACAAAGTATTCTGAAAGGGTATGGCATTTGCAAGGAATTACACAAGGAAAATGATTTGGCAGAAATGCTGCATAAAGTAATTCTCGTTTACAATCAGATTTTAGTGATTATGTCCAGGACCTTCTTTATTCTGCTCAAGTGATCAGGTTTTATTTTAAATTCACTGATTCATGTGAAACCGAAAATTAACCATCTGCCAGTGAAATTGTTATAAACCCTCTTTTAAAGCAAAGTGATTCAAATGGGCACTAAAAGCAGGTGCAGTTCAGAACTTTTAAAGAATACATCCATTGATTATTACAATATAGTTTGACTTCTTTACAGATTTCCAGTGAAAATCTTTTGCAGACATTTTTCTCATCATCTGTTCAGAAAGTTCATTCAAAAAGACTTACCGACCTTTGTATGCTTCATCTTTACTCTGTTATCTATCACCCCTTGTATACACTATGTAATATCACCCATAGACATAAAGAAAAATTAAAGACAATACTTTTTTTCATTTTGGTTAGAGTAATTTGGTTAGAGAAATGGACCCCTATCAGTTTTTTTTTTGGGGGGGGGGTTGCCATATGTATCCCCTTGGGGAGATTTACTTTAACTTTCTATCCTATAGCCAAAATAGGAAGTGAGTGGAAATCCCTGCAAATTAAGGGAATCCCTTGGGCCCCTCAGGTCACCAGAACTTATGTCCCCATTGGAAGGATTTCTTTTACTTTCACTTGCAATGATAATGGTAAACAGGACAAACAGAGACAGTGATCTCTCTAATGGGGGTACAGACAGCAAGAAAAACCTAATAGGTGTTTTAATCCATCTCCACTCTATCCAAAAGTAAAAAAAGTTTTGCCTTTAGTTATATTTTAAAGGACAACTTAACCTTTAGCAAAGTTTTGCTTTAATAAATACCCTACTTCAAATCACCCAAAGGTTATTTAGTTTCAATTTATTTAACCACTTCCCGACCGTCCTATAGCAGAAATACTGCTACAGGGTGGCACGGGGGCACAAAATCACCCATCTCCGGGTAGGGCGCACGCGCGCCCTACCTGCCACCATTCTTGGCTGCAGCTGTCAATCACTGGGCCCCAGCTGGTGATTACTCGCAGGCACCCGGTAATTGCCGAGTATGTCCGACAGGGAGAACTGTTTGTAAACAAAACAGTTTTCCTCCGTCAGCTCGTGCACACTGCTTTGGATGGCTGTGCACAGCCATGCAAAGCAATGTGCTTAGAGTGAAGCACACAGACACAGCTTATAGTAAAACAGCACACAGTGTAAGCACAACACAGCACACAGTTAACCCTATGATCGCTTCTCATGTTAACCCCTTCCTGCCCAGTGCCATTAGTACAGTGTCAGTGTTTCTTTTTAGCACTGATCACTGTATTGTTGTCACTGGGATGTCAGTGACACCAAGTCAGTTCCTCCCAGTGTCAGAATGCTCTTCACAGTCCCGCAGTGCTGCTATAAGTCGCTGATCGCCGCCATTACTAGTAAAAATTTAAAAAAAATCCCAGTATATATACCGCCACTTGTAAATGCTATAACTTTCATGTAAACCAATTAATTTACACGTATTGGGACTTGTTTTAGCAAAGACGTAGCAGAATACATTTTGGCCTAAATTTATGACAAAATTAGTTTTTTTAAAGTTTTTTACTGGACATGTTTAATAGCAAAAAGTCAAAAATATAGTTTTTTTTTCTCTCAAAATTGTCAGTCTTTTTTAGTTTATAGCGCAAAAAATAAAAAACACAGAAGCGATCAATTACCAAAAAAGAAAGCTCTATTCATGGAAAAAAAAGGACGTCAATTTAGTTTGGGTGCAGTGTTGCATGACTGCGCTATTGGCAGTTAAAGTAACGCAGCACCGTAATGCAAATGGCCTGGTCAGGAAGGGGGGTAAATCCTCTGGAGGGTAAGTGGTTAAATTAAGAATCCAACAGAAACAATGATGAAATGCTTCAACCAAGGCTATAAAGGTCACGCAGATTGAGGAACATGGCAAACTGGGTATTTCAGCAGGATTATCACACTGCTGGAATATCAAGGAACTAATTTTGATTACAGCACCAGATCACTATGTGCATCAAACTATTATAGCAGTCTACTTTTTTTTAATTTAGCTTATGATAATAAAGGTATCTGTTTTGATGTTTTTGTTTTTTGTTTTTGTTATTAGTCAAACCATTAGTTTCTATTGCAAGTCACGTTTACTGTTGAGTTTAGCCAATTCACTCAGCAATATGACAAAGAAGCAACTTACGAAGCAGAAACATCAGAAAGATATATGCCAGAATTGAATGAGTCATCTTATCAATGTCTAATCAAACAGTATTGTCAGCACAGCAGAGCAATACAAAGCACCTTGTCTACATGGTAAAACACAGCACAGCACACTGTTAACCCTTTGATTGCCCCAGATGTTAACCTTTTCCTGCCCAGTGTCATTAGTACAGTGACAGTGTTTTATTAGCACTGATCACTGTATTAGTGTCACTGGGGATGTCAGTGGCAGTTAGTCAGTTCCCAACCAGTGTCAGAATGTCCACTGCAGTCCCACATTCCCGCAATAAGTCGCTGATCGCCATCATTACTGGTAAAAATAAAAATAAAAATCCCAGTATATATACCGCCATTTGTAGTTGCTATAACTTTCACGTAAACCAGTTAATTTACATGTATTGGGATTTATTTTTCAGCAAAGACATGTCACAGAATACATTTTGTCCTAAATTTATGAAGAAACTTTATTTTTAAACATTTTTTTTACTGGACATGTTTTATAGCAAAAAGTCAAAAATATTTTTTTTTTTTTGCAAAATTATCGGTCTGTTTTGTTTATAGCGCAAAAAAAAAAAAAAAACGCACAGGTGACCAAATACCACTGAAAGAAAGCTCTATTTGTAGGGAAAAAAATACATAAATGTACAATGTTGCATGGCCGCACAATTGTAAGTTAAAGTAACGCAGCACAGTATTGCAAAAAATGGCCTGGTCAGTAAGAGGGGTAAATCCTCTAGAGGGCAAGTGGTTAAATCATGAGCACTACAGCTTTCATGTCTGTCTTCATTCCTTTGGCAGCCCTACTAATCTTCATAGAAGTATTTTCTAAGAGTTTTTTATATTAATTTTTATAGATTTCCTATGAAATCTATGAATTTTAATGTTCCCATTGCAAGATATCAGTGTGGATGCAAGCTCTTGAAATATATCTATATAACTAAAAATAAAGAATGCCATGCACCAAACCTAAAGTGTACTGCTGTTTTGTTTGTGTGGTATTCAATGTCACTGTGCAGTGGGAGAGCATGATTGCCTTTAGTTCTACATGGAAATAAAACTGAATGTAAAAAAATGGTAAGATGGACCTTTATGTTTGGTGTACTTATTTTACTTGTAAGATGTGATTTGGTTGCATTCCTTAAAAAATGAAATTTGCAAGTCGATTGCAAAACATTGGGTGATCACAGCTATGTAACAGGTAGATTGCAACTTCACTGTGCCAGCCTTCAGCTCCTGACCTCACCTGTGGCCTCTTACACCTGAGATCAGAGTGGCAAAGGGCATTGCATATGCGTTGTATGAGATTGCAAAGGGGAAACCTAGGAGACATTCTGTCATTTTGCCAGGCACCACTGCATCTGAGGTCTGGTGATTGAATCTTCCGAGGATGTGGTGTCAAGCATTTGTGCTGTGGTTGATTTTAGTTTAAGGTGGTAGATGTTTGTACTGGAACAGGGGTATTTTTTCTTTTGTGGGGAGGTGTATGTTAGTTACCCCTGCTCTTGTGTTGGTAATGCTGACCTCTGCACTATGCATTACCTACTATTGGCCGTTCTACTTTATACTACTCATTCCTGTCCCTGTTACATGCTATTGTCCTCTGAACTCTGCATTAAGTCCTGTATTACTTACTTACTCCTTACCTCTGCACTCTGTGTTATTTACTAATGACCTCTGAAGTTTGCATTACTTACTCCTGACCCCTTAATTAGACATTATCCTCTACTGAACCCTGAACTCTTCAAACCTTTCTTAACCACTTGCCCTCCTGAGGATTTACCCCCCTTCCTGACCAGGCCATATTTTGCGATACGGAGCTGCATTATTTTAACTGACAATTGTGCGGTCATGCAACACTGCACCCAAATGAAATTAACATTGTTTTTTTCCCACAAATAGAGCTTTCTTTTGGTGGGATTTGATCACCTGTGTGTTTTTTTATTTTTTGTGCTATACACAAAAAAAACCAACAATTTTGGAAAAAAAAACCCTATATTTTTGACTTTTTGTTATTAAACATGTCCAGTAATAAAATTTTAAAAATCAAATAAATTTAGGCCAAAATGTATTCTGCTACATGTCTTTGCTAAAAAAAAAATCTACTATCAATGGCGACGAGCAGTGACATATAGCTGGACTGCGGAGGTCATTCTAACACTGGGGGAAACTAACTTGGTGTCACTGACATCCCCAGTGACACCAATATAGTGATCAGTGCTAATAAAAAGCACTGACAGTATACTAATGGCACAGGGCAGGAAGGGGTTAACATGAGGGGGATGAAAGGGTTAACTGTGCGATGTGTGCTTTTTTTTTACTATGTGGGCGGTGTGTGTGTGTTTCACTGCAATCATGCTGCTTTGTATGGCTCTGCTATGCAAAGCCATACAAAGCAGTGTGCAGGAGCTGATGGGGAGTGATCTGTATTGTTTACATACAGGTCTCTCCCCCGTCTTAAATCCTCAGAGATTGCCCGGTGCTCTCGGGGAAACACCATCTAGGACCCGCTGATTGACAGCCGAGGTCGCGAATGGTGGTGTGAATAGGGCGCACCCACCCAGAACTGCAAAATCACATATATATATATATATATATATATATATATATATGAGAGTTTGCACACCTGTGCTGCCCTGTAGCAGTATTTCTGCTATAGGACGGCACAAAAGTGGTTAAGCCTGGTACACAGGTACTGCATATCGGCCGGTATCAGGTGGTTCAAAAGAAACTGACCGATAATTGGCCCATGCGTACAGCAGCCTGTCTGACAGAAGCTGGCCAAAAAGTCCAGCTTCTGTACAACAGTCATGCTAGAAAAACATCAGCTGCTTGGCATCCAATTAGTGCTCTCAGCCAGTGGATGTGAACACTTACCGGAGTGTTCTGGCGGGGGGTGACAGTCCCCCTGTCAGAACATAATCGCTCAGAGGGAGATTGTTGTACTAACATTGAATAGTTATTAAAGAGACCTCCTTGCAAGCTCCTCAGTGGGCTGAACGAAAAAAAACTCAGTGTATAGCAGGCATGATTTTTAGTAGGGCCTTGCTAGGTTATCTCTTTACAAATGCATGCTCTCCTCAAAGTTGTTCAAGCAGCTCTCCATCTCTCTATGTTTGCCTACCCCTGATCTAACATATAAAAAAAAACAAAAAATAATATATTTTAGCACTCATATCTGCATGATCTGTTGAGAATCACACTAGGTAATCATAATTCATGAATTTTATAATTCTCTGAAGATTTGACAAATATGCTTCCACATAGTCAGGTGAAACAAAACATATCAGTTTGCCTGATATTGTTTATTGATTCACTCATCACTAATTACACATCCTGAAAGAACAATTCCAGCTTAATAAACCTTTAGCTGAAAGGGAATGGCTAATTTAAATGAAGCTGCTTTGCATCCGTGTAGATAGAACGGAGCTATTCTTGGATTTTGCCTGCATAAATATGATGCATTGCAGAAATTGCTTTATTTTCAGAAATGACCAGCCTACAGTGATAATTGGATGCTATACAGATTGACTACACTCCACTAAAACTTTACTGCTCGCTTTCTGCTGAGGTGATTTAACAAACCATTGCAAAATAGCTCCCATATCTGATTTCTATTATCAAGTAGAAAGTCCTAAACATTGGCTTCTCAGTAAGTACAAACAAAGGTAATCAGTGGCAGACTTGTCTCAAGGTCATTTGCCTCATGGAAAAAATTACTTAGGGAAATCAGATGAAGATTACAAGCAAAGTACAAGCGAAAAGAGCAATTAACATTTTTAAATAAATCCATTACAAGCTCATTTGTGTAACTGTTTAATAGTGCAAATCCTAATTATTCAGTATTTTTTCAGTACTAATTTTCTAGTAGTAGTGCTAAAATCGAATAAATATATTATATTATGTTATCAAGGCTAATTAATTCAGCATTTAAACTGACATGCTGTACACTTTTAAAGGCATAGTCATCTTTTAGATACTTTTAATATCAAATAAATACTTTAGCAATAGAAGTTGTCCCTTGTGGGAAAGTTAATTCTTATGTTAAAATGTTCCTATTTTATATTTTTTGTCTGTTAAATATAACATTCTAAAGGGTTGCTTGCCTGTTTGAGAAGTGCAAAAAATACCAGTTGATCCTGACAAAAATCCAGTGTTGTCCCGTGTTTGTTGATTTTTACATTCATATCTCAAACAGAGTTATTGGGATGTCTTAGGACTGCAGGGCTCCTCCTATGTCACAGAGAA